CTCTCCTCTACTTTCTTCTACTGATTCAGCCACCAGATACCCCCATCAAAAAGATCCCACCATAATTAAGCTTCTCTAAAGACTTCTACCATAACTAAGCTTCTCTTGTGAGAAAGATTATTACAAAGAATGTATTCCTTTTATAAAGTATTTCTGCAGAGAGCTCATTATGGTTTGAGGGTTCCTCTTTGTTGTAAAGGCCAACTTTCTCTTTCTTATAAAAGCTAGATCTGCAATCAAGTTTGCTGCTGTGCAAAAGTTATTATTTCTGTTTTCCTTGTTAAAAACTTGTGAAACCTGTCTGRTCTAAAACACAGGACAAAGAATAACTGTTATGTAACCTGCCCTGGGTGTAAACCCCCAATGAGTATAAATCTAAAAAAATTTTCAGACYTGGGGTCCAGAAATTTTTAGGCATCAGCCCCTCTGGACTACTGCAGCTTAAACCATCTTCTAAAAAATTCCTTGGGTGTCCACCTCTTCTGTACTACATACCTACCATACTGCCCTCACCCCATTGATTTAGACACCTTTTTTCCAGGATGCTGAGCTTGCCTTTATCATAGAACTTAATCATAGATTATTTACCAACTGTCATTCCCACTAGGATCATTAATGATAGAAACTTTTTTTGGCGGGGGTACCACAGATTGAACTCAGGGACACTTAACCACTGAGCCACATCCCCAACTCTTTTTACATTTTATTTTGGGACAGGGTCTCGCTAAGTTGTATAGGGCCTTGCTAAGTTGCTGCCTCAGACTCCCAAGCTGCTGGGGTTGTAGGCATGCACCACTATGTCCAGCAGAAACAGTTCTTATTTGGGCTGTTTTCTCTAGTTGAGTGTCAGCTATATAGGGCATTTATTACAAGTATGCATAATGTAGATTTAGGTAATTTGGACCATTTGACCTTTGTCAGAAGCAAATGCAAATATTCTCCAGAGAAAAACACCTTCTAATAGGAGCTTTCACCCCAAAAATCTCTAAAATAAATAAGCAATCAGTCTCATGGAAAAAAGTAAAAAGAAGCTAAAAATAACAGATTCTGGAATCCAAGACTACATATAAGAATGATCAGACACAGCCAGGCATGGTGGGGACACCTGCAATCTCATTGACTCAGGAGGCTGAAGCAGGAAGATTATATGTCTGAGGGCAGCCTCAGCAACTTAGTATGACACTGTCTCAAAATAAAATAAAAGGGCTGGGAGTATGGCTCAGTGGTAGAGGTCTTCTGGTTCAATCCCCACTACTGGAAAACAAAACAACTAGAATGATCAGTTAGACAAAAACTAATGATAAGCCAGGGTGGTGGTGGATGCCTATAATCCCAGGGGCTAAGAAGGTTGAGACAGGAGGATTGTAAGTCTGAGGCCAGCCTGGGCAACTTAGCAATGCCCTAAGCATCTTAGCAAGACACTGTCTCAAAAAAATATAAAGGGCTCAGTGGTTAAGCAACCCTGGGCTAAATCCCTAGAACAAAACAAACAAACAAACAAACAACAACAACAACAAAACTAATGACAAAAAAGAAAGAACAGGCAATTACAAAAACAGATCTGAAATAATAAGATTGAATCTTTAGAACTGAACAATATAATTATTAAAATTAAAATGTACTGAATTTGTTAGATAGCAAATTAGGCACCAGCTGAAGAGAGACTTAGAGAACTGAAGTAGTGTTTCTCAAATTTTAACATGCATAGAAATTACTTGGGAAAATTGCTAAAATAAAAAACGTGATTGGTAGGTTAAGGGTCCAGCTCTGCCTTTCTAAAAGATCCTGCAATGTTGATGCTATTAGCCCACAGACTGTGTAACAAAAGGACAAAAGAAAATAGACTTGAAGAAATTACCCAAGATAATCATAAAAAACAAAGGCAGAAAATACAATAGGCTAAGAAATAAGAAGCATGGAACAAGAAAGTCTAACATGTTTACTAAAGACCTACAAGTAGAGAATATTGAGAGAAGATCCACCCCTTACATTTTTAGGGCCTAGAATAAGCACAAATGGAGGCCTATATATATGTCTTAGTATTTAAAAGTTAAAAACAAAGTTAATAAACTCTTAAACTATGTTCTATCCTCCCACTTTCATAATTATACCTTTATGACAATGCAGAAAGCCAGGATCAAATTTAGACTACTTGGGCTTCTAAGAATCCTGTGCTAAATAATTCAAAAGAATAAAGCAATGCCTCTTAGGGCCTGTACCTCACCTTGTCTTGAGTTTTGTACCAATGAATGTAGACATTTCAGCCTATATATCCAAGCTATATCCATACATGACTTAGCACAGTGCTTTGACCACCCTGAGGAAATGTGGTACACATCCAAGCATATGCCTTACCTTTTAAGAAACCTGCCCACAGAAGGAACCCAGAGAGAATATGGAAGTGGGCTATGAAACAGCTGGGCAGGGAGATTCAGGAGGTCCTAAAATATGGTCTGGAAATGGGGAAGGAGGCTCTGGGAGGCATACTCAGTTGTCAGAGATAAGTGAATGGCTTGGTTCCAGGGACACCTTGTCAGATGTAGAAGAATGTTGGATGGATGAACAGAGCAGGACCTTCTATAAATGAGGTCCAGACCAGGAATCCAATTTGGGTTTAAGAGTGGCATTGGAAGAGAAAATGTTAGAGAATTTTCAGATYGGATAAAATAACTAACTTGCAAATATATGAAGTTCATCAAATATTTAGTTTAAAAAAAATCCACAATTAGACACATCTTCATTGAAAATGCATAAAACAGAAGACCAAGAAAAGATCTTCTAAGCAGAAAAAGGAATTCACCCACAAAGTGACAAGTAGAATGACTCGTATCTTCCCAATAGCATTAATGAGCTATCTTTTAAGTGTTGAGAAAAAAACAATTCCGTTAAGTCAGAATTTTCTAAAAACAGCAACAAACAAAATTATTTGAAGAATCATCCACGGTGAAAACTAAAGGCATTTTCAGATAAACACAACTGAGAGTTTACAATCAGCAGACAATCATTCAAATAAGGAAGATCATTAAAGGAATAAAAAATGACTCCAAAAGGACAGTGTGATATGCAGGAGGAAGTAGTTAAGTGAATTGATAAATCTTTGCCCTCATCAGGTGATGATATCAAAATATTATTTTTGAAGTTAAAAAAACTAAAATACTACAGAACAAGTTAAAAGAAGGGTGACGAGAGCATACTAAGGTTTTTATACTGTTGGGAGGTAGAGTTAGGGTATTAACTTTAAATGTTTTTAAGTGGGCTGTGTATGTAGCTCAGTGGTAGAGCACTTGCCTACCATGTGTGAGGCCCTGAGTTCAATCCTCAGCACCACATTAAAATAAATAAATAAATAAATAAAGGTATTGTGTTCATCTACAATTTTAAAACAAAAGAATTTAAAAAGTGATTTTAAGCATACAATGTAAATTCCAAAGTAGTCACAAAAATGATAGAATTATATATAGTCTGTAACTTATAAACCAGAAGACTAGGAAAAAAAATAGAATAAGGAAACAGATTATTAGAACATACATTTTTTTAAAAGGCAAGAAAGGCCAAAACAATAAGCATAGAGTTGAGCATGGAGGCTAATGTCTATCATCCAGTTAGGAGGGAGGTTGAGACAGGAAGATGCCAAGTTTTAGTCTATCCTGGGCAACTTAATAAGACTGCCTCAAAAACAAACAAACAAAAAAAGTGGGGGTGTGTGAGTGAGTGAGTGTGTGTGTGTGTGTGTGTGTGTGTGTTATGTGTGTGCTGGAGGTGAAGCTCAGTGGTTCAGCTTATATGTGAAGGCCTTTGGTTCAATCCCTAATAATGCAAGAAGAAAAAAAATAACAGAGTTTAGAAAATGAATAACAAATACAAAGTAAAAAGTTAAATATAAGTCCAAATAAATAGTCACAATACATATAAATGGACTGAAGTTATTGGTTAAAAGTAGACAATAAAAAAAATCTGTTACTTTCTATTTATAAGACATTTTCTAAAACATAGGAAAGCTTAAAAGGTAAAATTGAAAGCTTAAAAGGTAAAATTGAAACAAACAAACAATCCCCTGGAAGTAATTACTAACCAACAGAAAACTAGGAAAATTACATTAATATCTAACAGAGGAGGCTTTTTGAGATAAAATACATTGTTGGAAACAGAAATAGTCCTTACCTAATGATAAAGGCTCARTTCACCAAAGAATCACCAAACAAGTTTAGATGCATTTAGCAAAGCAGTTCTAAATYATAAATGGGAAAATCAACAGAATGATAGGGAAAAATAATGAAGCTCATCATCACAGTTTGTCTCAATTATTGACAGTTCATGTGTATCAGCATATCAGGAATACTTCTAAAGGATGCTTAAGTGTGACCAGCTTTGGTGGCSCAAGCCTGTAATCCCAGCGATTTAGGAGGTCAGGCAGGAGGATCGCAAGTTCAAAGCCAGCCTCTGCTTCTTGGCAAAGACTTTGTCTCCCCCCACCTATATCCCGCAAAATTAAGAGGGTGGGATGTAGGTCAGTGGTCAAGTGACCTTGAGTACCAAATCCCCAGTACCCCCCAAAACAAAACAAAACAAAAACCTTTAGCGTGGAAGACAACACACGAGAGAAAAAAAAATCAGAATTCTGTAGAAATCTCAATTTCTTTTTGGAAATAATATCTAAGTATTGTAATTACTAAGCACTTCGGGGAGCAGAAGGCAATACAGGAATGGACACTTACTACGTGCACGCGGGCATTCTAATTAACTGCCATTACACATCTTTTAAGCATTTAAAGAACAAATAGTTTCTTAACAGGGTTCAGATATTTCAACGTTACTTAAAACTGCTTCATATAAATCGAACTGACGGGAAAAGGTGAGCTAAAAATTTAAGACGCAGGCAATGAGGACACCTATGAGAAACCAGTGGGGTCCTAGAACAGCCAGGGAACTGCTGTGTCCTTCAGGCGGGCATATGGGCAGCTATGTCGGGTGTGGTGGGGGCCTCAAGGAAGCTACTGCGCAGGCGCGCGAATCATAAGTCTACGCAGGAGGTGGGTAGGTTCTCTCTTTTCGCTCTCAGACATGGTGAGTGTGGATGGTTCTTACGGGGCTTCTCAGAGTGGTCAGAAAAATAATATGTACTGTTGAGCAGTTAGTTGCTATAGGTTATCTGTCTAGTATTAGAGAATGGTTAGGTTAAGGCGCGGGCCTTGGGAACTTTCTGAGGGCTCAGGTTAAAGTATTACTTAGCGTTTTCTGCAAATTTCTCAGGCGCAATTGCCGCTTCTAATTTTACGTAGGCTTCATCCTTTTGGGCGGGCCTCTTTTGGGTTGAGCGGCCGCGTTTCTTGGTTCCTCTAAAAAAAGCCTCACTGATGGCTGACYTTCCCTCCGTGTTTATTAATTTCTCTGTACATACACACATTTTTCCGTGCTTGTTGTAATTAGTTTGGGGTTCGAGTAAATTTTAGAGATCATTAGCGATGAGGCCTCCCAATTTTTTGTTTCTTTTCCCTGGTCCTGGGGTTTGAATCTTGACCTTCGTGCATGCTATGCAAGCCAGTCCTTTCTAATTTTATTTTAAGACACGAGTGGAAAAAATTACCCAGACTCCCTTGTGCTTGAGATCCTTATGCTCACCCTCTTGGATAGCTGGAAATCTCCTAAATTTTAAATGGAATCCAAAGGAAATTTGCTACTCAGTTTTATTCTTGGTCATTTCCGTGGCATACTTCTGGTAACTACAGTTCAGTAGTAGATATATGAAAAGGTGTAGATATATGGAAAAATTAATAATTTTTTGGGGATTGTTGGAAATACTCGGATTGAGCTTAACGGTGGTGAAGGAGTTAATGGGATTGCATACTTCATTATTGGAATGGTTTATTAGAGTAGAGGGTGCTTTGAAACCTGAGTTTGATTAAACGGGAGTGCAAATTATTTCCCACCCAGACGTTAAAAAAAATGTGCGTGCTTTCTGCCACGTGTTAAGTTTTCCTCATTTGGTAAGCTTTTACTTAACTGAGTGAAAGACAGGAACAATAAATGCAAGTGGTAATTTTTGGGTCAATGATGAGCTGGCATGTATTCTGAATCAAAAGTTGATTATTAATACTTTAGCTCTAGAATTACTCTGAGACCTGAAAAATACCTGAATTTGACTGGTTGTTTAAAAAGTTACTTTTACAACAGATACCTGAGATTTTTTTAATTGGAAAATTTTCAGTGAGAAAATTCAGGTGTAAATTGAATATATTGCTAAGGGGCAGAGTAAACATTGATGAGATTGCTGCTTTTTTATTTTTGAAAGGGCACACCACAGAAGGATGTTATCATCAAGTCTGATGCACCTGTCACCCTTTTACTGGAGAAACATGCAGATTATATTGCATCCTATGGCTCAAAGAAAGATGACTATGTATGTATTAATTTTTATGTTCAAAAGTTTTAAAGAAGTCTGACATATCTAAGCAATATAGCAGTATTTATGTCTTGTTAAAGTGGTATCCTCCTCTGTGCAGAGGACTGAAGATTTGCCCTTACAGTTTAATATGTGTCTCTTGTATATCTGAGTTTGGTGGTTTGGCAGAATCAACCATGATCTTACCCATAAGTAGAGACCTTGCCAGACAAAGAAGATAGAGTATAAGGTAAAAAATAGGCTTTCGTTTTTGTAAGTGAGGTATACATTCAAGGTCAATGATGTATTGGCATGTATTACCTGAATTTACTGCTGATGTGTAATACTTAGCTCTAGAATTACACTGAGACCTTGAGAAAATTTTGCCTCAATTTTTTTGTTTTTTTTTTTTGTAACAGGGATTGGGGGGGACGTGCTTAATCGCTGAGCCACATCCCCAGTCCTTTTTATAAAAATATCTTATTAGAGACAGGATCTCATTAATTTGCTTAGTGCCTCTAAGTTGCTGAGGCTGGCTTTGAACTTCCAATCCTCTTGCCTCAGCCTCCAAGGCCCCTGGGATTATAGGTGTGCGCCACCAGGCCCAGCATTACCTCAAGCTTTTTAACAATAATTTAAGTAGATTATCTGGCTCCGTGAGAATATTAGCAAGAAGTAGTGAACAATTTGGCTATGGTATCTGAACAGCTAGTTTTCTGCCATCTTGGGAAACAAACATCTGATATTAACTTTCACTCCTAAGTTTTAGGTTTTTAAACCCTGTAGTTTCACATTTCTTAATAGGATCATGAACTTAAGTCAGAACTTCAATTTCCCCAGTGTGACTTTAAGAGGCATGAAACTTGACTTGTTCCTTTTTAATGAATTGTCTCCTTTGAACCCTGGATTTGGTTTGGCAGCAAACTAAGATCCTCATCTGATTTACAATCTCTAAAATAATGCATTGTTGAGTGCAGCAAATTTTTGTTTGGGGCTGGGGTTATAGCCSAGTGGTAGAGTGCTTGCCTAGCACATATGAGGCATTGGGTTCTATCCTCAGCATCACATATAAATAAAATGAAGGTATTGTGTCCATTTATAACTAAAAATACTTTTTTAAAAAAATTGTTTCTGGAATCCATATTAATTTTTAAGTCTTCTTGATAGCTGGGCATCTATCTTCACATCTACTTTCTGTGTTTTTAGGTCATTTTTGTAAATTTATAGATAATAGATTTTGTGCTACATTCACATTAAAAGAATGGCTCTCTGATAAGTAGTATAGGTACTGTGAAAGATACACTGAACTTTACTGATATAAACAGATCTTTTTTTGTTGTTTTTTAAAGCTCTGGTTTGCCCTTAAGTTTTCAAAGAGGTGAATTAATGCTAGTTAACCCAGTTTATAAGCCAGCTATTAGTGTTTTTTTTTTTTTAAAGAGAGAGTGAGAGAGGAGAGAGACAGAGAGAATTTTTAATATTTATTTTTTAGTTGGCGGACACAACATCTTTGTTGGTATGTGGTGCTGAGGATCGAACCCGGGCCGCACGCATGCCAGGCGAGCGCGCTACCGCTTGAGCCACATCCCCAGCCCAGCTATTAGTGTTAAATCTCTTTAACCTGTCATAAATTCAAACTGACACATTTAAGAAATTGTTGTTTTAGGAATACTGTATGTCTGAGTACTTGAGAATGAGTGGTATCTACTGGGGTCTAACAGTAATGGATCTCATGGGACAACTTGATCGGATGAATAGAGAAGAGATTCTGACGTTTATTAAGTCATGCCAACATGAGTGTGGTGGAATAAGTGCAAGCATTGGACATGATCCTCATCTTTTGTATACTCTTAGTGCTGTCCAGGTAAATTTTCAGATTCAATAGTCTCCATAATGTATTCTCTTTTCTCAAGAGTCAGGAATTGAAACTGTATTAGGAAGATGATTAGTATGTTAATGTTAAAAAGTCTTGTTCTGTTTAAGTGAAGTCATTCCCACAAGGTCAGTGATGTGATGGCATGTATTATCTGAATGCAAAGTGATGTGAATTCTAAAATTACACTGAGACCTTGAGGGTAAAATTTTTTCCTTCAGTATATGTAACATTGAAAATAATGAGAATTTAATATTGAAGTCTATTTATATTTAATAACAGGATAGTCTGCATGTTTTGAGAAAGGTTCATGTAGACAAAGGACATGATTGTTTAACATCTTAGAAAGTAACTGCAAAAGAACATACTTGAAAGGTTACTTACCAGATTCATTTATCTTTCTTACAGATTCTTACTCTTTATGATAGTATTAATGTTATTGATGTAAATAAAGTTGTGGAATATGTTCAAAGTCTACAGAAAGAAGATGGTTCTTTTGCTGGAGACATTTGGGGTAATGTCAGATTTTGTCCATACTACCATAAATTGAATATCAATATATCTTGGTCTTGGTAGTAATCAGTTTATAAGGAGATTAAGTTTTTCATCTTTTCAGGTCCCAGTAAGCAGCTGGTCTAACTGGAGTTAATGGCCTGGAGGTTCCAGCATGCCCTGTGGTAGTTATATCAGCATACAGGAGCACTGGAACAGAGGGGCCCAATCTAAAAAGATAAGGTAGGTGACATTTTTTTCCCCCAGTATTTGGTGGTTTTGTAAAGTTTTAAAATTTTTGATGGAAAGAGAGCCAAAAAAAAAAAAAATAACAAAATTTCTGAATATTTGAATGGAGGGAGGGAATAGTAGTTTATTTGATAAATGTAGATAATCTCTGCTTTAGGGCTGAACACAAGTGCAGACCAGAGAGACCAGCTGCTTCATGGGATATGAAAATCTACTTTTGTAAAATAGGGTAAGTTTATTGCATTTTAGAAATTACTAATCCTTTCAGTTCTATGTAAGTAAATTAAGATAATTTACTCTTATTTGTTAGTTTTTGTTAGTTTCCTCAGTTTACTTCTGACTATACAACATAAAAGTTAAAGCTTAAACTTCTGGAAATTTTGAGATATTTGTCTGACATTGTTTTTAAGATAACTTAAACTGTTATGATCAGAAGCCTCTGGTAACATGTTGGTTTAATCCATTTTTGTTTTAGGAGAAATTGATACAAGATTCTCCTTTTGTGCAGTGGCAACTTTGGCTCTGTTGGTAAGATTTGACTATTGATATTGAAATGATTATAGACATTCTTGAATATTCTGGAATTTAATAGTTTCTTTTCCTTCTGTGTATAGGGGAAACTTGATGCTATTAATGTTGAAAAGGCAATCGAATTTGTTTTATCCTGTATGAACTTTGATGGTGGATTTGGTTGTCGACCTGGTTCTGAATCCCATGCTGGACAGGTAATTTATATTGATTATGATTTAGTGTCCATTTTGAAGAGACCATTTGTAGTAAATTTGTTGAATGCAARTGAAGTTGAGTTTGATTGTAATGTGGGATATTACATAAGAATTGCTTAGTGCTACATGAGGGGAAAGCATTTTTACAATAGTTTGTCCCATGTATATACCTTCCTTCTTAGTAGATACCTCTGATTAGGTAGAACATAATTAGATTAAGTCCTCATAATGTTTTTCTGAGTGAGCACATTCTGCCAAGAATATTGTATATGTAAATGCTTGTGGAAATGGGCTGTGAAGAAATTTTGACAATATTATGTCAGGGCAGAATTGGCTCCTAGTAATAAAACTTAARTACAAAATGGAGTTTAAACAGTTTGAATGATTTTTTTTAATTACTTTTGCTATCAAGAAGTTATTATACACATGTACTTTATGTCTGTAATTTTAGATCTATTGTTGCACAGGATTTCTGGCTATTACTAGTCAGTTGCATCAAGTAAATTCTGATTTACTTGGTTGGTGGCTTTGTGAACGTCAGTTACCTTCAGGAGGACTCAATGGAAGGCCGGAGAAGGTATTGTTTCATAGCTGTGTTCTAGCATTACTAATTTTTTAACCTTGAGCAGACACTGCTTCTTTGTCATCACATTTCAATATTGCTGTTGATTAATTATGAGCTTTAACTTTGCTGCACTGTAATTTTAAATAATATCCCCCAAAAAATACAGTCCTTGGCAAAACAAAGACCCTTCTAGAAGAAATTCTTAATGACCCTGGTATCTATTTTCAGAATTGTGTGTAATCAATCAGTCACCACTATTCCCCATCCCCCCGTGTAAGTATTTATTGTCTTGAGTTTTTAGAAGGATCCCACCCCCCCCACACACACCCCATCTGAAGGCCTTGTATTCAGGCTTTGAAATGAAACCTTTTCTAAACCTTAGTTCTGGGACCTATACCAGGGTATCAGACATGCACTGAAGGGGTGAAAACTGATAGCCAAAGGCTTTACTGTGACACATTTTATACATAAGTCTCCATGCCCATATATTTGAAAGCACAATTGATTTTCCCAGTTTTGAGGTTTGAAAACAATAAGACATTTTTCTGGGAAAGCCCAAATTTTGACATTTTTAGAGGTAAAGTTACTGAAATTTTCCTACCGTTATGTTCTAAATCTTAAGCCYCTAAGGGCCATACTGAATGCAGGTTGAGTGAGTATCCATAATCTGAAATCCAGTATGTTCTAAAATCTGAAAGCTTCAGATCTATATGATGCTACAAAGTGTAAAATTCCACACTTAACCTATGTGACAGATTACCACCAAAACACAAGCACACTAAAATGGTGTGTAACATTACTTGTCCATATATGAAACATGTTTTTGAATGTTYTTGCAAATATTCTGAAATTTGAAACTGTTCCCAAGCATTTTGGATGTAGGATAGTCAGCCAGTGTTTTGATTTTGCTGGTATGCAGTTTTGCTTGCAGGACAACTTGTCCTATTGCAAATGCAGTCATAGAAATAAGAGTCTGGCAGTGTTCCAGTTAAAATTATTGTGGGATAACATTTGTATTTTATGATCTAAAAACTATGTACTGTTGTAAAAACTATTAGGTTATAGTCTCATGAACAAATCTAGGAACCATCTCCAGTACTAGCGTAAGACCACATTAAATGCACATAGTTTTAAGTTATTTATAGTCTCACATCTGAACTTTTGGGAGGTCTTTTCCCCATCTTTCTGAAGGTTTGCTGTGCCCCTGACCCATGAACTAGGGCATGATGGTGCATTTAATTTGATCTGATGTATTTTTAAACTTTGCTTTGTAAATATTTTTGGATAACATTAATGGCTAGGGAAATACCCACAAGTGATATGTAGATAAGGTCTGATTTTGAATCCTGGGGACCTCATTAAGAAAAATGGGTGGCTGTCAGAGCACCAAGAGCCTGCATATGAATCTGGAGCAGCCTTTAATGTACATATAAATCCTTATGGGAGTTCATTAAAAATGCAAACTGTTGTGTGTAGGATCTGCATTTCTTACACTCAGGTGACCACATTTTCAGGACTTAGGTGTGTAACCGCCTGGACCGTATTTGTTAAAAATGCTCTACCTAGGAAAGTGGAAAATGGGTTTTTGTGAGCCTTTACTACTAGACTWGGCCTGTTGGTTACGGTGCTAAGTTAGACATTGATAAAGATATATGTATGCTTATTCACTGAGAACTGAAATAGCATGGGTACGAGTGAGTTGGAGATTGGTCTTTTCCGGTGATCAATTTTTTGTGCCCTTTTCCCCTTCCAGTTACCGGATGTGTGCTATTCATGGTGGGTATTGGCTTCCCTAAAGATAATTGGAAGGCTTCATTGGATTGACAGAGAGAAACTGCGAGCCTTCATTTTGGCATGTCAAGATGAAGAAACTGGAGGGTTTGCAGATAGACCAGGAGACATGGCAAGTATATTTTGAACATTTTTGTTTGTATAACGTTTTTAAAATATTAAATGTCATGGTTCTTGGCATTTATGGTTGTAGAAATGATGGTACATCCAGTGTATGGTCCTAGTGTAGTTTTAAAAGTAGTGTGTGTTTTTAATAACTTAAAACATAGTGAATGATATGGATCCAAGTTTCTCATCACCAATTCTTTGCCTCTGTATATGACCTGCATTCTCCTTTGAGTCTGTATTCCTTGTTTTACCTCCAAAGTCAGCTTTCTTTTATAGCAGCCTATATTATTGAATGTGTAATTCTCTTTCCTGGTTTTGGAGGCTGGGGGCCTCAGTAAAATTTAGTATTATGTTRTAAAGGTTAAGTAGTAAACAACAAGTTAGTCTGTTTCAGAAAAATTTTAAGCATAACTGACATTTTTAGTATTTTTAACTTTAGAGGCATTTTCATTTTGTAATGGTCTCAAATTTTTTTAATAGGTGGATCCTTTTCATACATTATTTGGCATTGCTGGATTGTCACTTTTGGGAGAAGAACAGATTAAACCTGTTAGTCCTGTTTTTTGCATGCCTGAAGAAGTGCTTCGAAGAGTCAATGTTCAGCCTGAACTAGTGAGCTAGATCACATTGTTGATGGAAAAGATCTTCCTTGAGTATTGCCATCTCAACATTTCTGGTTTTGAACCTAAAAATTACTGCTAATATTTTGTATATTGTTAAATTAATTTTAATAAATTATATAATTATACATATTATAAAATAAAGGCTTGTATTGCATTTTCTTTTAGATTCCTTTTTGAAATGCTGTTATGTTTTTTTGTGTAAATGTATCTGTTACTCTTATCCCCATATCAGGAAACTTAAGAATTTAATTTTCCTTGATTTTTTGAATGTGCTCCTGTATTCAAAAACCATAGTTAATGTTAATTGGTTTGTGTCAACAGAATGTTCACTGATGTAAATGGTAAACATGAATTAAAAGATGCACAAAATAATTGGCTTTTGAAATGTGGATATGGTTACTCTTAAGTTCATCCTAATTCCAAGTTTGAAAAGGTTTGCAATTTGGACCTGAGCTGATTTTTAGCATTTTATGGATCTGAATTGCCTGAGGGATAGTTTGAATTTTATCCCAGCGAGGAAAATTTTAACAGTTCAAAGCATAATAGTTTTTTCAAGACTAAAATGTTCATAACTGTTTGTCCAACCTTAACAGTTTAGGGGGGAGAATAAGAGGTGTTTTCAAGCATGTTTTTGTCATCACCAAGTAACATTGCATGTGGGTGAATTATTTTTGAGATGCTTAATGCAACTTAGTAGTGTATATTTAATAGCTTATGCATTAAGATGCTTTTCCTGGTATCCCTAGGAAAGTGATACTTTGGTTTTATCTGAAGAATATAATATCGCAAAGGTGAGCGTTTCTCCCCCCCCCCCCCCCCCCCCCCCCCCCCCCCCCCCCAGAAAAAAAAAGCTGCTGTTTAAAGTTGTAGTCTTATGTGTGAAACTGCAATACTTCGAAATTGGTGGTGTTGGGACTGAAACAGCCCGAGATCTCACCCAGTCTTCTTTTGGGTCCCTAACATACCTATGGACACAGCCTTGTGCACGCCATAGCCTTCGTGATGATTTGAGTACAAGTCTTAATGTGTTGGACACTGGGCGCACCTAGGAACCAATGAAACCCCAGAGGTTGTGGAAAGCGGGCTTCCTGCTCTGCGCACCGTTCTCCCGCCCTTTTCGGTAGCAACTTCCGCCCTTGCCTMGCGACCAGGCGTTCACAAACGACCTTTCTGAGGCCCGGAGAGGCTTGTGAGAATGCTGAGACCTACTACTTCCGCTTCTGCGGCTTCCCCCTTACCCGGAGGGGTTCACCCGCGGTGTCCCCGAGGTCCCCGCTACGTTTTCGAACTTCTGGAGACTCCTCAGAGCCGCCCTTCCGCTCAGGGCTCGGCGTCCTCTACTCCTCCCGGCACTTCAGGAGCCGCGGGGGATCGCAGCTRCAGCAGCAGCCTCCCTCACCAGCCGCCAAGCTCTCTGCCAGCCCCAGGCAAGGAGTGCTTGATGGGGTGAAGGTGCACCCGCTGGGCTGGGCGGCCACCACAGAGGAGGGCAATGTGGTTCCTGGGGGGATGCAAAGAGGGTGTCCTGGGTATTGTATGGGTCAGGCCCATTAAAAGGCTGGATGCCTTTTCTCAGGTCTGAATAAGGCCGGAACAACACCCACTATAATGTCCTGTCTCTCCCCAGTTTGTGACAAATGACAGGTTGTGCATGAATAGTCTCCAGGTCATCAAATGGGACGAAAATAGGTTGATTTGAATATTTCATCTGATCCTAGTGAATATGTTTACTATTAAAAACCAAGTCCTTCAGGCTGAGGTTGTGGCCGCCCAATGGTAGAGTGCTTGCCTAGCATGTGTGAGGCAATGGGTTCGATTTTCAGCACCACATATAAACAAATAAATGATAAAGATCCATCAATAACTAATAAAAAAAAAAGTCCTTCAAGTTAAGTTCGACTTATTTAAAAGATAAAGATGACTCGTTAACTGTTATGAGTGAGGAAACACTTCTATACTTAAGTTTTCTATACTTAAGGTTAAGCTATCAGGTTATTGAGAAAAATACAAAAAGCAAACTAAAAAGCATCAGACTGAAATATTAATTATGATTTTGAGGTATCTATCCATCATTGGAAATTTTAAGAGATAGTCTGAAATAGAAATCTGGAACCAGATCAGATGCAAGCTGTGCATTGCAGTTGTATGTGAAAATGATGCTTTTACCACGAACTGAAAGAGGGTGACAGTATTCTGTCCATTTCCATCTCTGTGCTATTGCAGACTCTCATAATTCTATGTYTAATTTTATGACATAATTTTATGTCATATCCTTTCTTCTTCCAGGTTTACTTAGAGTACCACTAGAGTTATGTGGAAAATGCAAAATTCTTATATCCCATGCAACTTAAATCAGTGGCTCTGTATCAACAGGTACAAGGTCAAACTGTTTAAAAGACTGTCCATGGCCATTTTGGATCTGTTTCCAATCTTTATAGCTTTCYCACTGTTGTGACTAAAGGACCCAACCATCACAACTATAGAAGAGAAAGAATTTATTTGAGTGCCCACGGTTTTAGAGGTCTTAGTCCATACAAGGCCAGCTTCATTTCTAAGGGCTCAAGGTGAGGCAGGACATCATTGCAAAAGAGTGTGACAGAGAGAAGCAGTTCACATCATGGTGATCTGGAAGCAGAGAGAGAGACTGTACTCTCCATATACAAAATATATACCCCATAGCCACGCCCTAATTCCCACCTCCTCTAGCCACACCCTACCACTCTAGTTACCACTCAGTTAATCCCTATCAGATGATTAAATTATTAATTGGAATAAGACTCTTACAACCCAATCATTTCTCCTCCTTCTTGCATTGTCTCAGCGTCAGCTTTTGGGGGACACCTCACATCCAAACCATAACATCTCCCATCCCTTCTTTAAAAAAAAAATATATTTTTTAGTTATTGATGGACCTTTATTTTATTCATTTATTTATATGCAGTGCSGAGATTCGAACCCAGTGCCTCACACATGCCCGGCAAGCACTCTACCTGCTTCTTGATATTTACACTGCTTTAGAACAAAACATATTTATCAGTAGGAAAACCAAAGTGGGAAAAGAACTTATATAGAGTAAGTGCAACATGAATTGGTTTTAAAAGTAGGACAAAGAATACCAACTAAAAGGAAGTAGAAAAGAAACCAAAGAGCATTCTTGAGAAAGAAAAACGTGTGCAAAGGCACAGAAGCAGCAGATAAAACTGCAAATAATTTTGTGTCACTAGAACAGATGAGCTGATGTAGGTAAATTTAAAGTACTTATGGGAATTAGATCTGAGAAGCAGATTAGTTTTATTCTCCATGCCAACACCAGGTCTTCTCTGGCTTTGATAATTGAATAGATGGTCATACTCTTACCTGATATAGGAATTTTTTAGTAGAAACAACTTTTAGAGGGAAACTGATGAGTTCTGTTATGGACATTTTGAGTGTGAAGAGCCTCTGGTATGTCCATTTAGCTAGGGCTAAGAAGAGACATTTAGAAGAGATACAGATTTAAAACTTATGTATATTTGGGATCAGAGGAGAGAATATGAAGGAAATACAGCAAAACAGAGGTTAAAAAAAAAAGTTGGAGGAAAGCTGAGACAAGTGAACAAGTTTCAAGAAAGGACTCATAATCTAAAAGTAGCTTGAGAACAAGAAACAGTGGTCTCTGTCTTCAGTCTCTAGTACCTAGTTCCTTCCTTAATTCTTTTAAGCCTGGAGATGCTCATGAAGGGTATTTTGTCAGATTCTACACTTTTTATGATGATACCCCTGAATTATCCACACTGTTGTGAATATTTTCTGAGGAAGATACAGGCTTGAAATGTGCTGATAGGAGTGGACAGAGTTGGAAATTTTTCTAAGTTTAAAATAAACAAAAAGAATTACAGGACTTGGTAATTCTGATTAGCTGTTAGGATTGATAAAAGAGGAATTAAAAGTTACTACTGAGTTTATGACTTGGGTGTCAGGATCCAAGATGGCACAATTGACCATGACTGGTAATAAATATTGGGGGAAAGATAAAAAGCTCTGTTTTGGATTTAAGTTCTGGGAAAATATCTATAGGTTTATGTCCAGAAAGTAGTTAGATACAGTGATCTATACTACATCCTCTGATGGAATTTTCTGTGAGGATTAGTTCAGTGTAGTGGCACATGTCTCTGATCCCAGCAGCTAGGGAAGCTGAGGCAGGAGGATCACAAGTCCAAGGCCCACCTCAGCAAATTAGCAAGTCCCTAAGAAACTCAGTAAGACCCTGTCTCAAAATTAAAAAAAAAAAAAAAAAAGATTAAAAAAAGGTCTGGGAATTAGTGCAGTGTGGGGCCCTGGATAAACAGGACTTTAAGTCCAGATGCCCCGGGGTCCTGAACAATTATTGCAGTTTCTCAGTAACTTGGGCATTACCCAGCTCAGATAACAAGGCTGGCTCCAGGTGTAGTTATACTCACCTGTTTGTTCCTTTGTAATCCTACCCCTTCTGCCTTTTTTGAATAGAATGTTCTAAGAAACAGCAACCCCCCCCCAAATAAAGGCCCACTTCCAACCATTCGATGTCTCTCTCCCTCTCCCTCCCCCCCCCTTTCTCTCTCAACTTTGTCTTGTCCCCTTCTTGGGGAGCCTGAAGCTGAGAGACAGGGAAGCTGTCCTGAAGCTTATAAAAGGTATTTTGTGTCTGTGTGGTATTTTGCGTCACCCCAAATTCACATGAGTAACTTTAGTTCAGCTGCTTGCACTGGACAGGGGCAGCAGTACAGTAGTAAAGCACTCTTGGGTTCAATCCAAAAAAAAGAAGAAGAATTTTCTGTGAGGATAGAAATATTCCATATCTATGCTGTTCGTATGGTAACCAATTGACAAATGTCACTTTTCAGCATTTTAAATGTGGCGAGTATGACTGAGGAATTGAATTCCTAATTTTATTTAATTTTTATTTAAATAGCCACATGTGGCTAGTGGCTTCTATATTGAACAGTGCAGGTGAAGTAGTAAGAATGGTTTTTGCATTTTTTAAAAGGTTGAAAAATTTAAAAAGAATATTATTTTATGGCATGTGAAGATTTATGAAATTTAAGTTTTAGTATCTAAAATAAAGTTTTATTGAAATACATGCATATTTACTAGTGTATTATCTATGACTGCTTTCCTACTGTGTCAGAGTTAAATAATTGTGACCATGATTATATAGTCCACAAAGCCTAAAGTATTTTCAGTCTAGTCCTTTATTAAAAAGCTGATCAAACCTTTGTTTACAGTATAGTAGAGGGATCAGACTGCATAGGAAGATTTGAGAGTTGTCAGGAAATAGAAGTTAACAGAAACAGATGAGATGCTTACAGAAAATGTATAATATTGATTTGTGAAAGAAGATTTAAAGACTA